ATATATGCTGCAATCACTTACTAAATTTATTAACGATCGACAGGGAACAAGAAGTTTGTGATAATTTTGTTTTCAAAATTATAAAATAAAGGATATACTTTTAATTAATATTTGTCATATCAATAATACTTAGAATATTACATGATAAAACCACAATAATTTATTGAATCAAAATCAACATATAAATTTTTTCTTTCGTGAAATCTTATGATAAAATGTGTCACATTTAATTGAACTTGTTTGACAACAAGTATATATTATGCATGTTTTTTTAGTGGCCATGATGAATTTGAGAATTATGAAAACCAACAAAAGTTTTCATGCTGTTCCATTATATAAAGAATGTTATTTTAAGAAATGTTTCCAAAAATAATAAACCCAGATTCCTGACATTCAAAAAGAAATCACATATGGTGATACTATTGAAACTATAAATATTATCATGAATGGACTATAAAACGGGTTATTCATAATTCTATTGGATGTGTTTTAAGATATATTAGTAAGGAATTAGTATAAATTACAATACATTATGATGATAAAAGAGGTTGTTTTGTTAAATGATTCATTGGAATAATCATATTGATGAAACTTCTACACCAACACTTAAAACTATAGTAGAAGTTTTTTTTTTTTTTTGGCAAAACATTGCATGATTACTTTGTTAGGATTATGATGGGGAAAGAAATGTGAGCGATGAGTTCAATGGATTGAAGTCTTTGGTTATGAAGGATAATTATTCAGCTTGTCATATACATTATCTTATACTTCATCTATAACTAGCTTTGATCGTTCGAGCTAAAAATCATGTACAAATTGCTTCCTTTTTTAATGTAATTATGAATTTTATTATTTTTATCAGAAGTTCAATCAAAAGAATATATATTTTACTAGAGAAAAAACTAAATACATTTATTTAATAGTTATAAAATGAAGAATTAGCAACTACTAGAGAGTTGAAACATGAAATTTTTCTTTAACGAGATGGAGATATATATTGTTGAGATTTTTCAGATAAAAATTCAAGATGGTTCAAGCATTAAGCTAAGAGCTAAAATGTCAGCATTACTTGATTTCTTACTATATGTTGATTTAATTTTTTTTATTTGTATTTAATGAAGACTATATTGGATATCATAAATAAATTTTCTCAAGTAATACAAAATAAACGAGCAAGATAATATAAATGACACAGCTTTACTTAAACATTCAAAAAAAAAAAAAAATCTTCAAATAATTAATGAGAGATGATGAACGAATATCTTTAATTGAAAAACGTTAATTCATTCTGTTAAAAAAATCATATAATTATTTTAGATATGAGATATTTGTAATGTGTGGCAGGTCAATGAGACATGCTTAAAATATTACAAATTTATATGATTATCAAACAAAGTTATTTATTTGCAATGTATATTTGCAAGTTTAAGAGCATAATGGCATATTTATTGAGATAAATATTTAATTGCTTTTGTGTGGGGCATGCTAGAATCAATGTAAGAAATTTTCATTTACTAATAATAAACGTTTGATAGATCTCAATTTTTAAACCCAATTTACATAAAACTTATGAATTTATTTAAATTCTCAAATTTATTTACATATTATTTATTTATAATGCTATATTTTTCTTCCATTTTTTTTTTTTTTTTTGCATTTTAAAAAATAATAATACATCTACTAGCTTGGTTTAAAACTTAAAATTTTCATAAAATTTTAAAAAATGCACTCTTACATTTAGTCCCACATCTAAAAAGAGTCATTTATCTGCTGCGCTTTAAAATAAAATAAACCACCAAAAAAGGATTTTTGTTGACATATTAGCTTACAAATTTGGAAGTTTATGACCACAATCATGTTTTGATGGTTAATAATAAAGCATTTATTCTAATTAAAACTTTATTAAAATTTGCATATATTAATAAAGATTTTTCTGATAGTGTTGATTTTTTTGATAGTGTTGGTAATGAATCAAATATATAACATGTTCATCATATAAAAGCTTGAAAGAATAAATTATATATAATTTTTTTTATTTTTTTTATCTTTTATATCATCATATTGTTATTAATTTTAGCATATTTTTAATTTTCTTGATCATATTTTTATCAATTTTTTAACATATGTAACAATTTTTTTTTTATAAAAATCATGAATTTCAAGTTCAATTCAGGATGAAAATGGTTGAAAGTATTTTTGAAATTAGTAATTTGCACCCTAACAAAAAAAAAATTATGGCTCTACCATTGGCTATAATTATGACCAAACCCTGCTCAAGTTATGCTTAAACTATCATGGATCCTTATTTGAATAGTGTTCCAATCAACTCCTATTAAATTAAGATTCAAACAATTAGATCAAAATTCCAGCATGGTTGGAACCATGCCCTTATTAAGGCTTGTTTATACAAACAAAATTTCAAATATAATAAACAAGGGATTTTTGGATAACACTCACCCATAATATTGAATATAATATTTTAACCACTCAATTTTCGATGATTGTAGGATTCAAAATATTTGAAATTTAGTGGGTAAATGAGATGGATGCAATGAAAAAATGATTAAGATGTTAGATTTAAAATTTAAGTAATAAAAATATTATATTTGATTTTTTAAGAGTTTGATACTTAAAAAATTCAAATAAACAGATTCTTATCAACTATCATTTAGAGAGATGATTGGTTGCAATTAGAATTTAGTTTAAATAGAACTTAGTAAAACTTGTAAATATGAATTTGATAAATATGAATTTATCAAATCCCAAAAAATATTTGATATGTTAGTGAGTAAATTAAGATAAAATAATAAAAAAAATTGTTTTGCAATTCTAGAAAGATTTAACAAGATTTATGAGAGTGAACATCAAACTATAAATATTAAATAAGAAAAAGTAGAAATGAGTATCTAGAAGTCAATAAAAAGAACATTTACATTGATTAATAGTTTATTATATAAATTAATAATTAAACAAATTTTAATTACTTGTTAACAGTAATTTAGCATTAAAAATTATTCACGAATGATATAAATTAAGAATTACTAATTTTAAAAATATTTGTATACATTACTTAATTATTAAATACAATCATGTAAGTTTATTTAATTATAGTCATTTTTATAATCTATAAATTAATTATTAATTATTATTCAATTAAATTAATCTAAGTATTTATTCATCACTTCCTCTCAGCCCGAAACCATAGCCTACATCCTCTCCCTCTCCCGGGAGAAAATATTTCATCAGTACTACGCATGTTAAGCTACGTGTGTATCCAATATAATGTCGTCGCGTGGAAAGCTTGGCCCCACCTATTAAAACACAGGAAAATAAATTTCTTATTATTCGCGACCCGGCCCAACCCTAAACCCGAACCCAGAAAAATTTCCCGCTAGCGTAAAAATATTTCGCGCCTACCTGTTCTATTCGCAGGTTGTTCTATTGGTGGGTGAAGAAATATTTCGCAGCTCCGCAACAGCTAGGGTTTCGATGGAATTCTCCATAGATGTTGGAAGTCTCCATGAACTTTGAGATGCCATCATTTAGCCTGAACTTTGAAGATCAAGGGAGTCTGTAATGATATCTAGTTTTATTTTAGCTTAGGGTTTTCATTCTGTTTCTGGTATTGTCATTTTGTTTGTGGTGTTTACTGGTAAAATTTAGGGTGTTTTTCTGCTGCGCCTTTTGTGTTATTATGGTGTTAAAGCTTAGGTTTTCTTGGTGTTACTCTTGTGTTATTCTGGTGTTACTTTGGAATTACTCTAAAGTTATGTTGTTTCTTGCATTTGATTTAGTACCGTTTAGGTGGTGTAATAGTTGGTTTAATCTAATGTAAATGTTAGTGTTGATGTAGTGTTATTGGGTGTTGTTCTACAGTGTTGTTTTTGGTATTATTATGGTGTTTTTTTGTGTTATTATGGTTTTAGGCTTATGATTTTCTTGTGTTACTCTTTTGTTATTCTGGTGTTACTCTGATATTACTCTAATGTTATGTTGTTTATTGCCTTTGATTTATTATTGTTACTGTGTTATTATTGTGTTATATTGATGTTATCATGGTTTTATGCAGTCCTATGAGGCAACACACGTTTGCAATGATCCAATTGCAAAGAAGTTTCTAAGCAGCATTATCCACAATGAGGAAGAGACATATGAAAGCTATCGTGCATATTCACATCACGTAGGATTCACTGTTCGGAAGGACCATACTACCTACAGGTCGAACTGCAAGAAACTCAAGGTCAAGGATTATATTTGTGAAAAAGCTGGCTACAATAAAGAGTCTAACAACACAGTTAAGTTCAGAAAAGCAGACACGAGGATTGGCTGTAAGGACATGGTTCGATTTCATGTTGATTTCGAAGGCAATTGAACAGTGGAAAAACTCATTGAAAATCACAATCATCCTTTGGCCGAAAGTGGTGATAAGCATATTCTTCATTCCAGCAGAAGGATAAGTGAGCTCAATGCAGATGTGTTGAGATCCATGACAGGTTCAGGGATCAGAGCAACACATGCATACAATTTCATTGCCACGGAGGTTGGTAGTGTGGAGAATTTAGAATGCACCAAGAGAGATGCATTTAATTTCATCCAAAGAGAAAGAAGACAAATAATTGAACAGAGAGATGTCAATGCTTTGATACAAATGTTCATGGAGAGGCAAACTGGGGATAACATGTTTGTTTGGGATTTCCAAACAGATGAGTCTGGTAGGTTAACAAACATTTTTTAGACTGATGGATTATGCAGGTTGAATTATGGCTGTCTCGGGGATGTCATAATTTTTTATACAAGCTACAAATTAAATAAATAGAACTTATGTTGCACTCCATTTGTGGGGGTTAACCACCATTGGCAGAACATACTGTTTGGAGTTAGATTTTTGTCTGATGAGACTACTGAATCATTCATGTAGTTATTCAAATCATTCATTCGAATAATGGGAGACAAACATCCCATAACAATCTCTACCGATCAGGATCAAGCAATGACAAGAGTCATTGCAGAATGCCTCCCACAAATACATCACAAATTATGTCAATGACATATCTACAAGAAACTTTCTTCCAAAGTACACTGTGGAGTGCGTACTAAGAGCGTCTGTGGTCTTTTTTATAAATGCTTGAGCAAGTGTGATTCTGAGGAGGAGTTCGAAGAAACGTTCAAAGAAACGTGGTCCTTAATGATTGAGTTGGGAGAACTACAAAGCAATGTCTGGTTAGATGAAATGTACCGTATAATGCATAAATGGTCAACAACATTTAATAAGGATATATTTGATATGAGAATATTATCAACACAGAGAAGTGAGTCAACCAATGATGTTTGTCATGGTGTTTCAAAGCCAACTACCTCTCTCACGGATTGTTTTATCGGTCTTGAAAACCTAATGAAATCGTGGCGCCGTAATGAGAAAGATGAAAATTTTAAATGCAGTCAGTCCGTCAGAACGCCCATGGTTAAAATCAATCCCGTGTTGAGGCAAGCTGCCTCATTCTATACAAAGAAGCTTTACTCAATGTTTGAACAAGAGTTATTGAATGGCTTATGTGGGCTTACATCTGAAGTATCAGTGGAGAGTGAAACTAAATATTAAGTATCAAAAAAATTGGATGATGAGGGGACAAGACAGCCCTGGAATGTGTTAGTTGACAAAGTTACTTGTGAGGTTACATGTAGTTGCAAAAAGATTAAGATGATGGGCCTGTTGTGCTCCCATGCACTATTTGTTGTAAGTGTCGCCAAAATAAAGGTGATTCCAGAGAAATATTTATTATTGTGGTTGTCCATCAATGCTAAAAGGGACATGTATAACAGAT